TTTCTCTTTACATGAATCTGCGATGCTAAACGCGCCGCAAATCGACTATAATGATGTCGATCTGACGACGACGAGCTGTGTTCGACGTCTCTGAAGTTATGAGCCCAACCACGACTCTGCGCTGCTGATCGCGACGGCGCGACACCATGTCCGACGACATGGACACCGACGGCAGCGCCACACAGGAGGGGCTGGCGCTTGCGGCGCGATCTTCTTCTCTTGCCACGCCGCGGAAACGAAGCAGACTCCGCTCCGGAAACAGCCAGGGAGCGCGCGGCGGTTCGGCGGATGCCCGCCCGGGAGCGGAGTACCTACTGCGATCGGATGCCGAGAACCTCGCCGCGGCGACGGCCAAGGGGTTCCGCTACACGCAGCGGGAGCACGAGTTCACCCGCGGACGCGTCGACGCGTTTGTGGGAAAGCAGACGGAGGAAACCGCGGCGCAGCGACGGACGCTGTCGGAAACGCGGGAAGCCATCGACGCCTACGTGGACGAGACGCATCAGGAGCTGCGCGGCAAGTTCACCGCTTTGGAGGCGGAGAATAGCAGGCTGCGACAACAGGGGGACCAGCTGCAGCAACAGATGCAGGGCATGGCTTTTACGCTGGAACAGCAACGGGCCGCGGCGGCTGCGAGCGCCGCGGAACAGCAGGGGAAGATGGATCAAATGTTGCTCATGATGCAAACAATGATGAGCAAAACAACAGCAGCACCGCAACAATCCGCGGGTGCGACGACGACGGGGAAACGGGTTCCGGCGGTGGTCCACTTCGACATTTCCGACTCCGGCGGGGCAGCAGCTTCGTCTTCTTCTGCCGAAGCGGCAACCACTTCTTCTCCACCGTGCGGGACGGGGGTTCCACGGCCGATCACTTTTCCGGCACGTTCGCCGGAGGAGCGGCTTCATGCGGCGGTCCGGGTGACCAAGCGGTTTGCTTTGGACAAGCGGAGCACCTTCGGGAGCGACTGGAAGGAGCTGCAGGAGGAGCTACACACGCACGGGGTGAAGAAGAAGAGCACGGAGTGGGAGCAGCTTGCGGGGCTCCTGACGGGTTTGGCGAAGGAAAAATACGAAACAGTGCAGCGGAAGCACAAGCCGCGGACCGAGGGCGACTTTGCGAAATGCCTGCAGGAGCTGCTGCAGGAGATCGCCCGGGCAACGGGCGTGAACGTAGGAACCGGGTCGGCTTCCTGCTACCACCGCTGCGCTTCCTTGCTGGAGCAGTACGCCGGCAAGTGGGCGAAGAGTTTCCCGGCGGTGATGTTCGTCGAGGCGAAGGTGGCGAACATCATCGAAGACAGCTCCGAGCGGGGCGACATCGGCTTCGACTTGGACTGTAGTCGGAACCAGCGGGGGGAGATGGAGGGTTTTTTCAAGCTCCTGGAGGACTGGGTGGGGGCGGATGGCTCCTTGTGGCTTTCGCAGAATGTGGACGACGCCTCCACAATGCGCCAGTGGCTTAAGCAGCTGAACGAATACGCCAAGAAGGTCCTCCTGAAGCCGTTGACGCCAGCGCAGCAAGACACAGAGGTGGACAAGTTCCACAAGTTTCAGGAGTCGCTGCGGCAGGGCGCCGGGACACAGGCGGGCGGGGTGGTCGGGCAGCAGTCCTACAACCTGGCCCCCGGGCCAACGACGACCTCCAATCCCAACCCGGAGATTTGCGGTTGGTGCGGATGCTCCCACCCGGAGCTACCGAGCCACAAGTGCGTCTACGGCCCGCAGAACGAGTACGGCGCCAGCAGCTACGCACAGCAAATTATCCGGAAGAAGCAGCTGAAACTCGACGAAGGCAATGCCTTCCTGCGGAAGACGCACCTCGGGGGACGAGCCCCGAGCACCACAGCGGGAAAAGGACAAGGCAGCGGCGGCGGAGCAGGCGCCAAGGGCTCGCGGCTGGACTCGGGATGGGTTTGCGAAATCTGTAACACGAAGAATTTTCCGGACCGACAGGACTGCTACGGCTGCGCAAGGGCGGCGAAAGGGAAAAAGATAAGTACGGGCGGGAAGAACGGATTCGGCGGGAAGGGCGGCACGGGATACAACGTGCTGGATTCCCAAACCCCCGGCGCGGAGCAGGCCACTTTGAATGACCTCGGTGCGATGCTGCAGTCGCTGCTGCAGACCTCAGCAACGAGCGCACCGACGGCGGGAGCGCAGACAGCGATGGGGCCGGCATTGCAGCAGCAGCTGCCGAACGGGGGAGCACAGATTCCGAACGGGGGAGCGACGTTTTGCCAGCTCGGGCAGAACGTGCTGTCGGCGACGAACAGGCAGGCGGCTGGAGCGAACCAGCCGGGGTACAACCGGCTGCAGCCGACCACGACGCATCCTTCCTTCCCGCCGCTCGGTAGCACGCAGCCACAGATCCCACCGCCGCCACCGGTTTTTCAGCAGTCCACGGCCAGCCTCAACCCGAATATTCCGCACTACGGCCTGAACGGCAAGACCAACGGCTTCCACTTTTTCGGACATGCAGGACCGGCGCGGTACGCGGACGGGGGAGAGGACAAGGAGAACTACTCGACGCTCCTGGACCACGTCCTGAGCGACTGCGAGGCGATCCAGTGGCACGACTTGGAATAATTAGATAAACAGCATGACAAATTCGCCTTCTACTTGAAAACGGCAACCAACACGGGACGCCTTCTTACGACCTAAGTCCATCGATTTTGTTTCAGAATAACTACCAAAATTCGAAGAAAAACAGCAAAAACCAGGAAAAACTAGCAAAGACATGCGAGCAGATGCACAATTTCTAGGCGTAAACGGCTCACGGCTTCGAAACGCAGAAGCGGACAAACAGCAGACAAGCAGCATTACAAATTCCGATACTACCAGACCTACACTACAAAAAGTTCTTCACTTCGTTTCGCTTTCTTCTCCGCGACAAGGGCGGAAACAGCTTTCCAAGAACGACCGCTACCAGCTCGAAGGAACAGTTTTGACGCACGACGGGGAAACAGTAAAATTTTTTTCACGGTCGACTTTTCGGGGGAAAAGCGACATCAAACGAACAACAGCTTCGGGGGAAAGCGGGAACAACTTCGGGGCAACAACATCCGAAACGACCAGCAAGGGTTGATCGCCGTCTGGAGTTTCGGAACAAGCTGCACGACCCGGCGAAGGGCGGCAGCTTCTACACGGGGTTCGGGGGAACCGCAAGCGCGTATTTGGATTTTGGAAGCGGCAAATGCACAACGTCTTCACAGCTTCACCATCTTCCCTTCCGACTACGCGGCCACTTCTTTCGAAAATCCGCGGAGAAACGGCTCCTGCAGATTTCCGAGGGGGAGTCCGTGATATTGTAGAAATCCAGCCACAGCACGCACAACAATCCAGCAAACCGGTCACCTGTTCAGCCTTTCGCCGTTGAAGCACTTCGCAGGGA